TTACATTACCTTATCTTACATTACATTACCTTATCTTACATTACATTACCTTATCTTACATTACATTACCTTATCTTACATTACATTACCTTATCTTACATTACATTTCATTACATTACTTTACATTACATTCAGCTACCACAGAATCATCTTAAGCGTAACTAATTCAAGTTAAATAAGCAATATCTTAATCAAACTTATCTCGATTGTAAAGGATGTATAAAGGAAATATTTAGAATAATGCCAATATATAAACTTCCTTTCCGTATAGACGTATTTACGTCTAATTCTCCGGAACCGTGGTTCCACTGCCAATTTTTCGTGAAAGTATGATATTACGTAAGCTCCTATACAAAATTCTGATCATTATGAATGGGAATCGGCAAATCCCAGAGCCCTCTGTTCACTGAACGTTGACATGAAATGTAACTTGGTGCTGTTACAGGCTATGGAGCGGTGTTCCTGGCGGAAAAGAATGGTGGCATTGATCACAGAAGATTATATGCCATGAAGACATTGCAGAAGAAGGAGATCTTTGAGACATTGAAGGGTCCTGAAATGTTTATAACCGAATGTTTGGTACATGAGAAGGCTCGTGGCTCACCATTCCTAGTGAAACTGTACTACAGGTTCTGCACAAATGAAACGATCTACCTCTTACTGGGTAAGTATATCAACGACTATTACCGATTCCAGGATGTCTAAGAGGCGAAATGACCATTCCAGGGATTGGGAGTGTCATTCAGTGAATTGGGTGAAGGCGGAAACAGCTTGTATCATGCTCGTAAGATTCTTTTACACGCCGTAAACCTACGACGCGGGGCCGCCGGCTTTAGTTCCCCTCAGAAGGAAGTTGTGCTTCCGATTTTGATCTCCCTTCAAAATCCATCGACCTCGTCCGGGATTTAACCCGCGACCCTTGGGTCAAGTAGCGAGCACTCCAACCACTAGTATTTATTCATTATTATCCTTAGAGTAACAAGGTCTCTGTTATTGTTCCAGAATATTATCCAGGTGGGGACATGCTGGACTTGTTAATGCAGTTGGACACAATTTCAGAAGACGAGGCAAGGGTGTACCTGGCCGAAGTAATCCTAGCCATAGAGCATCTCCATCGGGTAGGCATACTGTTGCACTGTAGTTATCTCTAGTAAAATGCATGTTACGTTGGTGTAAAACCTAAAATTACTTAATTGATTGTGTGAAAATTTGTTTCTTTCAGATTGGTATAATACACCGGGACATCAAGCCAGAAAATATATTGATCGATGCTCGAGGTCATATCGCTGTCACGGACTACGGACTGTGTAAACAAATGATCTATGCAAAGGTAAATGTGATATCCATCTTATCTTTTTCTGAGTTTCTGTACAGACCACAGGCTGGAAAAGTAAGAGCTACGTGGACGGCTGTCATTTTGTACTCTTTATTTGAGGGAAGTCTAGGTACGACAAGGATAAAAGGGTGGGGAGGTTTCATGTGCTTGAAATTGGACCACAATTTAAGAGAAAGTGAAACTGAAGGATGTCAGAAATTTTAAGATTTAGAGGGGTGTGGACTGTGTCCAGTGGTCGTCATCAGTATTAGCCATGCTCACCGTTCTGTTTCTGAAAACAGAATGTTAGTTTCTACTTTCCCAGAATCTCAAACTGCTATCACAGTCATTTAAAAGGTTTTTGTATTAACAGGCTGACCGTACGGACTCATTCTGTGGGACGAAAGCATATATGGCACCTGAGATGGTCACCAGCTGACCGTACGGACTCATTCTGTGGGACAAAACCATATATGGCACCTGAGATGGTCACCAATGGAGGTCATGGCATGGTAAGTACCTGCTCCAAACAAGAAAATAGCTCCAAGAATCTATTTGTGCTGCTTCATCCTCAAATAGAGTGGGGGGGAATAGTCATCACCAAATTCCATTCTTCAAGGCCATCGAAGGACTTGATACCCATTACTGTGCAGCTTGCGAGTTCTGAGCTGTTTCCGTTGCAAAATTATGCGATTTTGCCGTAACAAACATTTAAATGACTTGCCGTAGAATCAGCTCAAAACCTATGAACCAAAAGCAGAAAACCATAGGAGCTTTTTAACTGAACATTGGAAAAATTCTCCTCTTGGCTTCACCGTGCCTGTCTGCCCACATGTAATATTTTGAAGATCTCTGAATTTATTGTGAAGATATTAGTTAATTATCCCACTTCAACTGGTGATGTCATTTAATGTCAAATGAAACTATAGTATGATTATATATGTGGATTGGGAATAGCAGTTAGCGAAGTTATTTTGTGGTTCAGAACCGGAATTCGCAAGGGAACTCGGCACATTCTCTGTCCGTCTCTGTTGAGTATGTGAAACACATAAATGAACAAAGAATAATTGTCGTATATAGGTACGTTCCATATAAATCTGGTGGCAGGAAATGAACAGCTCAGTTTGTAACACAAATTTTCTGTTTGTGCCTGGAGACCTCCGTGAAAATATGTGATATTTTGATGAAATGAAAATGATTGCCCTTAATTTTACTTGTTGCAGGAAGTGGACTGGTGGGCTGTAGGCATATTGGCATATGAGATGTTGACTGGATGCACACCATTTGAAAACCAGGAAGAAGAAGACGA